AATGATGCTGAAATGATTAATTTAATATTTATATATTATTAGTTTTTATATTATTATTGTTGTTTTTTTATGTTTTTATAAAATTGTCTTATGCAGTCACAATTATAAATTTAACGCTTTTGGATAGTTTAACGCACTTTTTTTTAAGAACATTGCGAATTTCGATTTGAAAGTTGACTTTAAAGACATTTTGAAATATTATCAAGGGCCTTTTGAGAATTTGAGTTTACTATTAAATCCTTTATTTTTCGGTTGTAGACTTTTTAAAATTTTTAAATGCCACTAAATATAAGAAACTACATTATGAAGTATTACTGTTTAGAAATATATCACATAAATGTCTTTGCTTTATGTAGATAAGATTTGGCTTTTATAAAATGCTTTAGGGAAATGCATCATCTTGAGAATGGATTTCCCTAAAGAAAAACTATATAATTTTTTTTCTCAAACCGTGTGTTTGAGATGTTTTTACACCGAAATCATCATCTCCAATGAGGATGCTTGAAGTTGCCTCAAAGCACTTTTTTAATTTAATTTAAACAGTTTACTAACCCTTGTTAGTTAATTGATTTTTACATCTTAGAATTAGAATTAATGTGTGAAAATAATAGATAGAGCGTCGAATGAGAATTATAAAGTTTAACTTGTGATATTTCGTTAAAATGATTTACTGCTGTTATTTTTTATGATTATATACGCCGTAAACCTTATTTATGTTTCACGGTTAAACTTATAATATTATTTTTATAATTTTTAAGTTGTTTGTTTTTGTTAATTGTTAATTTAAAATTTAATTTCTAAACTCTTGATACACAAAAATACAACAAGAATTCTATAATTTTCTTGCGAATAGTTTTTTTTGTTTGTTTTTTAGATAAATATGTTTTTAAGCTAAATTTCTAAGCAGAAAATTTTTAATTTTTTAAAAAATAAACAAAACAATTTTTATAGTAATAATCTTCCATGAGATAATAAAATGCTGAAACCAATGTCGACGCTAGGGGCTAGATATAATCTTTTATTTGATTTGCAAAGATTAAATTTCGTTTCCACAATAATTTTACTAAGTTGCTTTAGAATTAATGTGGGAAAATGATTAATTTAATTAGGATTATGTTTACTTTGATTCTATTAAGAGCATAGTTAACAAGCGAATTTTTATTCAAGTATATTTGAGCTTCAATTTATAACATCAGTTACTAAACGTGCACAAGTACAATTGTAATAGAAGAAGGCAATTTAAGTAAAAAAATTCAAAAAACATAGGGAAACCTGTTGTACCTCAGACCACTTTTTGCTTTTTTTTTTTTTTTTTTTTTTTTTTTGTATAGTCTATTGAATAAATTTAAACCATTCAAAGTTTGTGTAATCTTTTAAATTAAGCGCAAAAATTATACTTTTTTCGACCAAGAAGTATCATTTTGCCGTTTTTTTTAAAAAGTCGTCAAAGGTACAGCATGTATATTGTACCTATGTGTTGTTTTTTTAGCCAAATTAAAAAAATATAACTAGCCATTCCATTTTAATGTAATGGCTAGGTTATATATTATAAAGAAATTTCTGGCCAACCTCATTCCAATCAAAAAACATATGTAACTATTGATAGGTTGTTTAAGAAAAAATCAGAAAAATCAATCCTTACAATCTTGCAAAGACTTGTGTCAAAAGTACAACGATCTACTCTGGTCAAAGGTACACCAAGATGGTTTTTTTTAAAACAATTATTGCCTTAATCCCCATTTACGATAAGAAACAATTATTCAAACTTTTTCATAACAAAAAAAAATCTGTCGAGTAATGTTAAAAATAGCGTACATTAATCAAGCGACAATTTATGATAGGTTCAACATCGAAATAAGATTAACAAAAATATTTATTTTTTAAGAGCCAAAATTTTTTAATGATTAAAGGTATAAAGTGGTCTAAGATACAACATGTTTTTCTACAGATACTCAACTGTCTCCTCGTGTGAATGTCAGTGTTTGAAATTTTTGTTGGTGAATCTCACGCCAGCTTACCTATGCTTAAAACCAATTGTTTTCATCTAAATTATTTAAGCCAGTTGTTTAGCCGACAAAAACTAACTTTTGTTATTAAAACAAGTAGTTTATAGGTATTTCTTGTGTCGGAAGTTTAGAGAAATGGCTTTGCAAGTCAGTTTAAGAACAGATTTATTATTGCAAAAGCTAGCAAAAAAAGTAGGAACTGCCATCAAATAGATGGCAGTTCCATACTTTTTTTGCAACAAGTCATAGTAAAAGACCTATAAATGGTTTAATACCCTTGCCAAACAGTCCTATAAGACCTATAAGATTTTGGAACAAAAAAGAAGATAAAACGTTGATAACTATAAACACTTTTTAACTTATGTGTTTAAATTTAATGGGGTTCAAATCTAAATTTTTTTTTTGCTCCGAATTGTTTTAGGATCCTACAGAAATTTTTTACTTGGGTACCAACTGTTAAAAGTATCGATTTTAATTAAGTTTTAACCTGAAAGGCTGTTATCAACAATGCTGACAATTTTTATTGTGTTGTTAATACTAAACGAAATTTTCAAATTAATTTAATTTTATCTAAACATATTCATAAAAGGAGCAATCAATTAAATTTAAAAGAGATATTTTAGAAATCAAATAAAAATATTTTAGAAATCAAATAATAAAAAAAAAAGGTCCTCGTTTTCTGAAATTTGCCGACTGCCAACAATAGAGATCCAATTTTGCCGACTCCAGTTCCAATGTTGGGGGGCTAGACACCCCCTACGTCCCCCTCTCAGAACAGCCCTGCACCTTTTTACAAGCTAAAAAAAAAAATCAAAGTTCAAAGACTTTTTTTACCCTCAGTTTAAAGAAAAAACAGGCTGATTTTGATTTTTTTTTATTAAACCTTTTATAAATATAATATTTAAAACTGTTGACTTGCTATAAAATTTTGCAACCTGTATCTTAATTTAGCGTTCTTTGTTTTTGAGTCACCTACATGTGCTCTAATATCTTTTCACAAACCAATATTATTTCATATTATTATGAGATAATATTACTACTTTCTATTTCAATAACATATACAATATATGTATTTAATAAACCACTCAGCTTAGCATCAAGAAATATGAACAAGCTAATAAGTTATATATAAATAAAACAAATGTATAAAATCCCTTTTACAAAATATGTGTTCAATGAAAAACTAATAAACAAGTTTAAATTTTATTATTTAATTTTCCTTTTATCATCAAGTAGTCATTTGCAGAAGATGATTTGAGGTTTTTATTGTGTGGATCAAATTATTATGCGGGTTTTAGAGAGAGTATGGTGCCATGGCTACTTGATTGGAAGAAAATTGAATTAGCATAAAAGAAAAAACAACATTCCGATACCACGATCGATATAACCAGTAAATAGCGCCAATATGGCTATAACGAACTAAATAACAATTATGTGGCGACTATTTGAACGATAGTGTTTTTTTGTTATTAAACGAAATTTTTGTATAAATAGAGTTTTATTGTTGCTGTTTTTCAGATACAAAAATAAAAAGAACATAAGTAATATAGTTAATGTAAAAACGGTTAAGATCTTAAAAATATAAGTTATAATACATATTCGGTATTATTTGTGATCGCCATCGGATCACTACTAGATCCAAGCCCTCCCCCAACCCCAGCCCACACCTTCCCCCCAAAAAAACTTGTCATAAAGGCCCCAAAATCTTAAATTTTTTGCATTATATATAATTAAAAAAATCAAATAAAAAACAACCTGCCAAAAAAATACCTTAAATTTGCAAATGGGCCTCCTAGTTTCACTGCCCTGCCCTTTACCCCAATGGGTGTGGGGGAGTCTAAACACGACTCTGGGTGTACACCATGCGACAATTATCTTGCTATAAAAGTGATAGGAATGTTTGGATAAAGGATATATTTTTAATTATATATTTATAGATCTGTTAAAAGAATATGACTTCTTATGTTCCGCATGACTTGCTCCTAGCCAAATTAAAAACTTGTAGGTTTTCTAATGAGTATTTTAGGCTTTTGATATCGTACCTATCTGCTCGTAAACAGAGTGTAAAATTTTTTAAATTTATTAAAGGCTTAAGATATGGAACTGATATGACGACAACACTCTCTATATTTTTGATAATAACATAGTGAGGGTTATATCGAGTCTTAAAAGAAATAAAAAGTGTTAATAAGGTTAGCTACGAATAAAATGGTTACAAATTCAGATAACATTCAATTTCTATTCGTTAGCTTAAAAAACTGCAATGGTCTATTTGCAAATGTTGGTAATATAAAGATTTTTGCTTCCTTTAAAGTTAAATTCCTTGAGTTTACAATTGATTAAGATTTAAACTTTGATGATCATAATAAAATTCTGTGTGGGAAAGCAAGTAGTAAATCTTTGTCTCTATCGCGTATAAGAAATTTTTAATTGGGAAAAAAAGCTACTCTTTTATTCAGTTTTGATAATATTTTATCAAATTTGACAATAATCTTATTAATAAAATTCATAAAAAGGACCTGCATTGTCTTTAATAAATCTTATGGACAATGTGGGTCCATTTTATATTATATATAAGATTTTGGATCCCTTTCCAAAATTTAGCATAAAAAGTTAATTAATAAACAGTTTAATGCAGGCAATAATTTTTACAAAACTTATGCTCTTTATCTTGGAATTTATGTCTTTCTTTTTATTAAAAAAAGAAAGACACGAATTCCGAAAACCTACCCTATAAACTTCTATTAAAAAAACGCTACCCTATATAAAAAAAAGCCTTAGAAATAGACTTCACTGTAGTAAAAGATTAAGGCTTCTATCCATTGTCTCTAAACATAAATACAAAAAAAATAATTTGCCTAGAGCCATCTCGTTATGGGACTCACAACGAAAATACGTCGGTACAGTCTAGAGTCTCTCAAAAAAAGGAAGTTTTAGAAAACAGCTGTTTTCTGTTTTACTTTTAAAAAAACTGTTTATCATGGAAATTACAATAAAATAGTCCGATTTCTGGCATTATTTTTTTTATAGTAAAGTTTAAGTTAATTCAGATATTCAGAAAAGATAATTCAGAAAAGCGTGATTAAATCTTCGTTCAATCAATATATATATATATATATATATATATATATATATATATATATATATATATATATATATATATATATATATATATATATATATATATATATATATATATATATATATATATATATATATATATATATATATATATATATATTATATATATATATATATATATATATATATATATATATATATATATATATATATATATATATATATATATATATATATATATTATATTATATTATATTATATTTCATTGAACGATTAACAACAAGTAACTATATTATGTCAAAACTATATGTCTATCAGGTATTGTTATTCCAACAATTTTAAGTTTAGCGCTACGGCTTTTATTCTGTTTGTGTGAGAGTTACTCGTGAGGAATTCATCCGCCTCAGGGTATAGTTTTGTAAAAAATTGTCAAAAGTAATTTGTTTGTTATACTTATTGTGCTTTATTTGATTTCATTTACTCCCAGATTTGTAACTTATTATAATTGTTAGTTCTTTTACAAAATTTAATTACACAATATTTATGCTTGTGTGTATTGTCTTATCCTATAACATATTAATAATGAACTTAATGCTGCTGCCGTTACTCATTTGTACATGTTTGACACGAAACTCATGACTATGGGCTATGGCGTTCTACAAATACAAGCCTTGGTGGTAAGAGAAAATATCTTTTGACTAGAGACCAATTGTATATGGATAGTTTTACATAGTATGAATTATTTTTGCTTTACGATGGTTATACTCAACAGCGATTAGTGTAAACACAAATTTAAGGCAACTGCGTACCGTTATTTACTCAGCAATTAAAAAAAAAATTTAAGGTTAATTTTTTTGTAAAGTAAAATATATTTAGATAACAAAAAGTAATCAATTATGTCTCAAAAATGTTGTATTCCATGCTGTAATAGTGGTTGTGCGTCATCAACTACAAAGATGTCTACTTATCGAGTTCCTTGTGATGAGTACGAAAAAAATAATGAATAAATGCTATCCCACAAAAAATATTTATGAATAAGTACACTGTGGTGTGCTGACTTCATTGACCTATAGATTGCAAATCTTGTACATTTTATCATGGAAAAGTACGTCCTTCAAAACCACCAACTGTCTTTTCTGACATACCAGCTAGTTTACCTCCTAAGCCCAGTACAACAAAATTGTCATTATCCAGTATAAGAAATACAACATCAGATGAACTAGATAGCTTTAAAGAACATGACTTTTTTTCGACTTGATAACATAAAAGAGAGACTTGCATTGTAATGATCTTATTGTATACAACATAAATGATAATATAGATGTTGCTTACATTCAGTCAAAAGATTTTGTATGTGGTATTCCAAAGTTTTTAGTTATTATTAATAGAAATTTAACTTTCACTTTGTTTAGTCTTAGGTCATCTTGCAGTATTCAAATTCTACTATCAGGTTAGACATCATCACATTGTAAATATTAGTCAGTCTTTCATGAAATCAAAAAAAGTTACTTTAAAAAATAAAGATATTTGCCATAAGAATGTATTAATCGAACATATGGACTATATGTATGTATGTTTAAAAGAAAGTGGTTGATTTTTCTTATTCTCCTGATATAATTACTTGAGCATTTGAATACTTTGCTATATCTGAGTGATTGTAAAGTAGAGTGCATTGAAATATTAGACGAATAAAAAATTCTCAAGATTTGTATATGTAATATCAATTAAAAGTTTTATTTGGGAATTAAATTATTTTAAACAATAATAATAATTTTAACTAAATTAGTATAAAATTGTGATATAGTTTTTAAATGTTACTTTTCACAATAAAAAATTTTTTAAGTACTTTTTGTTTCCACAGCCAAAAAGTGAAAATAAAAAAATTAAAAAAATGATAGTCTTTAGGTGCCCCAAGGAAGGAAAGGGAGCACCCTTTCCCCCCTTGAGGCACCTGAAGGCTATGATTTTTTTTTGAAATTTGATAATTTTTAAGCAAAAGGCAACTTTTTATTGCTATTACATTTAAAGAATTCAAGTTTTATTTTTTCAATGGACCCTGCTGTACAGCCACATTTCTAATTACCATAAATTAGCAAGTATTAGAACTCTGAAAAGAACCACTTCAAAAGTCTGATCACAAGATAGTTTCGAATTTTTGAAAAATGTTATGGTAAGTATTGAAAATACACAATATAAATATATATTGCTGGTTGATGAAGTTTATGTTCAACCCACACTAACTTATTATGGATGTATATCGTTTGGAAATTCTGCTGATTAACCAGTTGTTCTTGCCAAAACCATATTGGCTATAATGGTAAAGTGTATACTTAGTGGACTAGTGATTCTAGTAAACTTAGTAAAAAGTGAAACTAGTCACTTAGATTCTGATTCTCTTTTTAAACAATGCAAACAAATAATCGAAACAATTAAAAATTAACCCAATGCAAAACTGCTATCAATTATTCTTGATGGAAATAGAGTAAATCAAAATTTTTTTAAAATGATGGATAAAATTGAAAAAAAAACCTTGGTGCGGAGAGGATGAAAACATATTTTTGTTGTTTGATTATGATCATGTCATGAAGTGTGTTCGTATTAATTGGTTAACTGAAGAAAACTTGGAATTAGTTTTTGACAAGGTAACAAACATGTAGTAAAATGGAGTGATTTAATAAAATTTAATGAGTTAGAATCTGCCTATCATTTTAAACTTAGCAAATTAAATGAAATTTTTATCTCTCCAAAACCAATTGAGTAACAAAAAAATTTTTTTTTTTTTTTTTTTTTTAGTTTACAATGTTAGTCGTGATAAAATAAAATAAATTATCAAAAATCCTGAAAAAAGTCCAAAACCCTGGCAAAACTTTTAGCAAGCTTTGCCAGGGTTTTGGAGGAACCTATTTTATTACTGCTCAATCTGTCATAGAAAAAGTTAGAATCCAACATGCAAAACTTTCTCTACAGTTAGAAATGAATAGTTTTGATGATTGTACCAATGGTCATTCCTGTAAAAATTATTTTTAAAGTTTAAATGAGTGCGAAAATTTGACTACTTGCCTGAACTCGAGAAAAAAGTTCAAGCAGAATCATTACTTTCAATTATATATATTGTTGGTTATGTTCAAAGAAAAATCAAAATAAAATAAAAAATAAAACAACTTTGAAGTTTTATACATACATGACATATTATATATATAACATTTATAAAGATATTATTAACTATAACAAACAAAAGGTAGAGATTTTTAACAAAGCCAGAAGTTTCTAAAACCATCAAAACATCGGTTGAAACTTGTTGCACATACGTTATGATAGACTTATGTTATTATTGTGATCAGGTAATTAGGCCTAATAAACTCCGGATGATCTGGAAAAGAATAATGATCTTAAAAATAATAGGAAAAAAAAAAAAACTGTCCTGCTACTCAAGAAGGTGCTTCTGTAAAGACAAAAAATATATATAAATACACACACACACACACACACACACACACACACACACACACACACACACACACACACACACACATATATATATATATATATATATATATATATATATATATATATATATATATATATATATATATGTGTGTGTGTGTGTGTTACTTTTTTGCTATAAATATAGATGGCCAGATTTCCTTTGGTTTATTACGCCGTTTAATAACATTTACAGTTCAAAAGTATATAAATAAAAATATTGGCGGGGCAAGTAGAAGTCATTAATTTATCTTATAACCGAGCCCCAATCGTAGGTATCTACATCATATTACATAGATTGGAAAAATTGAAAGTGTAATGTGTTAATGGGCGGATTTGAACCTACGCAAGAGGACACCGATAACAGGGTATTAAATCACTGAGTTATCGAAATTATGTATGTAAAAGAAAAACAAACTATTTTATAAATTTCTTATAAGCTCTACTATGCAGTAAAGGTGCGTATATTAATTTTTTTAGTCTTAAAGTACTTTTTTTAATGAAATAATCATTTGTTCAACACGATCAACAGAAAATAAAGTAAAAAAAAAAAAACACTTTGCCACAGCTACTCGTTTCCAGCTCCAATCACTCTGCAAGACTTATAACAACAAAAGCTCAATATATAAAAATTTACAATACTTTGGTTTTTTGCATTTTATTGCTTGTATTGAAAAAAAATGAAAAACTTGCAAAATTATATAGTAAAATGTCAAAATTTTTAAAAGCTAACCTTATTTTTTATAGCGATTGTAAATTTAATACAATAAATCGTTTTTAATAAAATTTAACAGTTAAATTTTTTCAGCTTTTTTTTTGAAGCTATAATTTTTATTGGAAAATAAGTGCTTAGTACGAAATTTAGTTAAGACATTTTTTTTCTCTGAGGTAAGATTTTAGAAAACCTTTGCTGACTCTTTTTCTTTTAAACAAGCTAATGTATTTTTAAGAATTTTGTAAAAACAAGGTTTACAGCAATTTAGATTAAAATAATAATTTCATAAGAGATTTTAGTTATCATATTATTGGCATATTGACGATATACAAATTTGTGCCATATTTGTACGGAAATGTGGGTACTGAGAATTTGTGCCAACAATATTGTTTTTTGAATTAATCTTTTTTTTTTTTTAACTAAAAAATAATAAGTTTTCGTAATTTAAAATAAATTTTGCTATGCTTGTAATGTTATTGTAATAATACCTTGTGAGCTTTTATTTTTAGATTATAACTGATAACATAACCTCCTAAAATGATGATGAATATAGACTGATAACATAACCTCCTAAAATGATGATGAACCTCTTGCCTATTTAAAAACAAAACAAAAAGTGATTTGAATGTTATTAAATACATGAATGATTCGAGAGTTTTGTTTTCTTATTAAATTATTAAAAAATAAATGACGCATTAGTTTTTAACATTTTTGTTTTAAGAACAACCTTCTAGCATGTTGAATAATTAAGCGTTATTTGTAGTAAAGAAAAAACTAACACATTTAACCGCTAGTGCTTTCTTTATAATGCAAATTAATGTATTTGACTAGCGCCCTAGCTAATGCGCCTGCATACAATGTTCGATTTTCAGCAGATCTAAGATTATTAGGTGATTCAATTTGTATTGCATCTATCTCTCCGCTGAATTTACTTCCGTAGAACAACGTATTGTAGCCTCCATTAAAGTAATTTCCATTGATTATCGGATTTGCGGGTGAAGGAACTGATTTGATGCCTTCATCATTGAGAAACTTCCCCAGGCTTCCTTCTCCACAAACTAAATCAAAAAATGAAAAACTGCTGTGTTTTGCGAGATTTCTAATCGACGAATTATCGTCATTAATATTTTGAGAATTAATGCAACTTTTAGATAAAAGATATCCCAGCTCAACCCATTGTTCGGGATGACTCTGACCGTGGATATCAATAAAAAGACCATGTTTCACAATCTTTTTTGCGTTGCTTAACAATTGATGGTAACAAGAATAAATAGATTGAGCTTCTGGATCATGCATCGTTGCTTCATTCACTTCTCGATTTAAATCAACCTTTGAACGATGAACTTCAGCAATAACAATATGTGGTGCTTCCTCCAAAGAAGAGTTTTTAATAAGCTCTTCGTGCAGTAAAAATACTAACTCTTTAGTAAATTGATCAGGTTCACAAACTGCATTGTATAAACCTCCATTACTTTTGCAAAATGTGCTTTTATCTCGATCAGTGATGAATTCGGGGCGCATTTCTCCACCATGTGGAACTGATATTATAAGTTTAGTTTTAATTCCACCAGGAATATATTGCACAAAATTGCTTGCTGAGTAATCATTATTAAAGTTTTCAATTTCCATTTTTCATGCACAATTGGTTATAAGCTGAGTACTTGAGAAAATATTTTCATATTTATCTAAAATGAATGAAATAAATTTAAAAAAAGAAGTCCTTTTATGTCCAAGTACATGTCTTTTCTGAAAATACAAACTTTTTTATGTTTTAACCAGTACTCGATCTGATGGGAATGCAATCCCGTCACTTTTTTCTGAAGTATAAACCAAACATGGCTTTTTCAACTCTAATAATAATATGTAATACAAATAGTAAAAACTGTGTATATATGTATTCTCTCTCTATACACACACACACACACACACACACACACACACACACACACACACACACACACACACACACACACACACACACACACACACACACACACACACACAGGTTTTAACCTTAAAAAAAAGATTTTTACTATTTAGGCATGAAACTATTAGTAGCATTAAAAAGTATTTTCTTTGTTTATATCAGAATAATTTAAGTATCTGGAGTTTACAGAAGATTTTTTTTTAATAGATTTTTTTAAAAAATTTTTTTAATAGAACATAACTTTTTAAATAAAATAATGGTCAGCTGAAATTTTGTTCAGTAATAGTTTTTCACCCAATTTATCTATTTTTGCAGGTGTTTTTGACTGATTTTAAACAATTTTTTAGTTCTTGTACCTTATTTAACCAATACTAGAAGAAAAAAATTGAAACTTCAATATGCTACATTTCAATATCAACAGAAAGGAAGTGCTTTTTTTTTGTTACTTATGTACTAAGGTTAACCACCTGCAGTAAAAATATTATGTATTAAAATTTAACACTTGTAGCAGTCTGTAAAAATATCATTTTTTAAAAAAAAATATGATAAACTACATTCACTTTGCAGGTATAGAAAATAGGATAAACAAAATAAATTATAAAACTTTTGCTATATATAGGCAATCACCAAAAAAAATTTATAAGCAAACACCAAAAAAAAGAGTGGTATTCTATCTTATTTCTGTAGCATATACTCTATTTTATGACATGATTGTAGAACTTTGACTTATATGTATATTATTAATTTTTCCCTGAATAAATATAATCGATTTTCCCTAAAATAATATTATAAGTGTCCTAATTTAACTTATATAATATGATTTTGAAATATGTACTTGTTTAATTTTATGCATATAATATAAGTATAATGATATAAATTGCACATGGTTATAGTTTGAGTGTGAAATAAAAAAGTTTGTACTAAAATCAAAATCTGCGCAGTATTTATAATTTTTATTAGTATTATTATAATTAGTATTATTATAATTTTTGTATTTAATATTGTAAAAATTAACTAACTCCTGATGGCTGGTCAATTGAAAAAACTTGCAAAACATTTTCAGTTTCAGAACACTTTATTAGGAAAACCTAAAAGTTGAAAAAATGAAAAAGGGATACTTGCTAAAGCTGAGGCTAAAAAGGACAACCTTTGAAAGATATTCTTGAATAGAAAGTCATTGAAATTTATGAATCCAAAGAGTTCACAAGACAATGTCCAAAAAATTCTTTATGAACATTTACATTTTAATTTTGTTTGTGAACTTTTACATTATTTAATAATGTAAAAGTTCATAAACAAAAACGCTTATTATTAGTTCGTTTAAAGGAATTTTATTTTGAGTTTAAGAAGTTATACCCTAAACACAAGTTGGATTCAGTAAGCTCTGTGAACTAAGGCCAAAATGGGGCATCACAGTTGACAGTAGTGGAAGTCACTCAGCATATGTTCTTATCATCAAAATGCTAAGTTGAGGTGCACTGTTTTACCTGAGAGCCACTTAATGTATTACAAAGATTCAATGAAATTATGTGTTTGTAATTTAGATAGTTAAAGTTGCGTGTTTTATCTATGCTCTAACTGCCCTGGTAAAGTAAATTTGAAAATTTACTTGGAAAATGTGGCGCCAATTGACCAAAACCAATATATTCATGTAAATCAGAAACAAACTAAATTTGAAATGGACTAATGATGCATGATCAAGTCAGCATTGGGTTCCATTTGGTAAATTAATATATCAAATAAGTGCTGCATCCATTAAGAGTAGAAGTGCTTGTGACCACAATCTTGCTAATAATGATTATGACAGTATTATGAGTTATGTAAATCAGAGATAAAGAAATAAGTGTACTTGTGTTTCATGTGTATATACACTTCTTTCAGCATTTTTACATTTTATTTTAAATTTATTTGTGACATAAACTAAAAACAATAAACTATTTTGGTTCAACTTTTTTAGTTTAAAAACATTACGCTATTTTTTATGCCTAAAAAAATGAAAATAATTTATTATATTTTTTAAAAAAGTAATATTTGGCTGCTGCAAGTGTTCAACTAACTTTTAACACATAATTTTAATTTTTCCACAAATGGTTACTTTAACTACAAAAATACGAAACTACAAAAAAAATGTAAAAAAAATAAATGGTACTGCCTGTCTGTAGGTATTGAACCGCAGCACATAAAAGTTTCCAAATAACTTTCTATTATTGTGCAATATAGCAACTTTAGGGTACAATCACTCATAAATACTTCAAAGCTAGTCAAAAACACCTACAAAATTAAATTATTTGGATTAAACTATTACTATACAAAATTTTAGGTTATCACTTTTTTATTTACAAAGTTATGCTCTGTCAAAAATCAAAAAGATAAGTTTTTATTTTTATTTTCTCTAAATTAACATTGACCGCAAAAAATTTACTCATTAATGTGATGTAAAATTGACCAATTTTATAATTCTTAGGCATTGTTAAAACTTCTTGGCAATTAAAAACATATTTAAATCATAAAGCATTAAGTTTTTTTTTATACTGTCAAGTAGACACTTTGAGAACTGAAGCTAAATGATATTCTTTTAACAACAATTTTTTGTTATGTTTTACGGATTAATTGCAATTTTCTTATACTGCTAATTTATTCAAAAAAAATACACATTTATGTGTTACCCCATATAGAGTGTGGTAAGAAATTTGAACCCAAACAACAAAATTAGTTATCTATCAATAATATTAGATAATTAAATTTTATGGCTGCATATACCATAGCTATACACATAGAAATATCTCATACCAAATATAGTTTAATACATTATACTATTTTTACAAATTGTCTTTAATATTGCTTATTTAATATTTAAAAACAACTGCTTTGAACATGGGAAGTAAGTGAAATTAATAGAATGTAACCTTTTTGAAAGTTTGTTCTATATAATACTATTTAAAGATTGATTACTACTTTGAGTTTTACATTTCTATAATTCTTTATCACTTTAAGTTTACAATATCTTAGTATTAAAAAATTGACTTATTGATATATATATATATATATATATATATATATATATATATATATATATATATATATATATATATGTATATATATATAAGTATATATATATATATATATATATATATATATATATATATATATATATATATATATATATATATATATATATATATATATATATATATATATATGTATATATATATATATATATATATATATATATATGTATATATATATGTATATATATATATGTATACATATATATATATATATATATATATATATATATATATATATATATATATATATATTATATATATATATATATATATATATTATATATATATATATATATATATATATATATATATATATATATATATATATATATATATATATATATATATATATATATATATATATATATATATATATATATATATATATATATAGTAATAGTAATTATAGTAACTCTTTGTCACTTATAATAAACTTATTTTCGGAAAAAAGTATAATAAAATAAAATATATCAGCTAAAGAGTAGGGAATCAATGTAAGAAAATAAACCTTACTCACTAAGTGTTGAATATTGATAGAAAATGGCCTTCATTCCTTTTATTATCAAAAATAAATCAAGAATTTGTAAAATGAGCTCAGTAATCTAGCGTCGTCAAGCAGGAACCAAGTTTAGCGAAAATGATCCAAAAGTAGGGTAATATGGGGCAAAATGAGACAAAAAGAAGATGCGATGCATGTTTTTATTATCCTCTACTTTCACTTAATATAATTATTATTGTTCATATGTAGCAATTTAGTTAGTACATTTAATTAGCATGCTAAAAACCAATATTATGTCAAATATTACAGGGCGCTTAAATATTTGGCAAGTGGCTTTTAGCATGTTAATTATTTAATTAATTATGCTAAAATCGAAAATTTTTTTATATAATTGCGAGTTCTTCAATAAGCCAAATTTTTACAGTTCAAATTTTTTTTAAAGTTTTTTATTTTTACCACATATTGTTTGTAGGGAAGATGCGTTAATCGTTGGAAAAAATTGCTTTATAAGCTAATTTTAAAGGTGTGACCCCTCCCTCCTTCCTTAAAAAGGGAGATTTTCAACTTATAGTCGGAATACCGATTCCCCTCCCCCTCCCCCCTCATTGTATTCCTAAAAAAACAATATATTATAAGTCCAAAGTTTACCACTATTTGATGAGAATTTAATAGATTAAAAAAAATGTTTATGCTTAAAAATTAATAAACGAGACAAACTGTGCAAATTGCAATTTAAATGAACCGTCATTAATTATTATTTTTAATATCTTACTTAAATTAGGTCATGTTCCGGATAAATTAAAAGTCATCTATTTAAAATTCATCGCATCACAGTCATAAGAAATATATAGTCTGACATCAAACAATAGCGCTCTGTTTATGTTTTTGTTTCAGAAATTACTCGTTCTCATTCTTCCGAAGCTGCACAGTAAACAAAAACATCTCATAGCGAAAGTATCGATTTCCTTACTTTCTTGATACTTTTACATTAAATTTAAACAACTGTAATTTATTTTAGTGAATTGTTTACGATTTGCTTTATTATTATTTGTTCTTGCAAGCTTGGCATTGTTAAAAAAAAAAGATTTTAAAATTATGCAAAACTACATTGTCCCATGTCAACAATGTCAATGTCAATATATATATAAAATTTTTTCTCATTTAACACTGTGTTTCATCAATAAAGACTCATCAGAAATAAATGATCAAATTAATAAAACTTCAATTTATACCAAAAATTAAATTACAGGAAGTCACATGTCTTAACTACTGCAATTTTTCACACAGTTGTGTAATTTGCTGACACTATTGTAAAAAGAATTCTTTAGAAATGATTATTTAAGCTTTTTTAAAAAATAATATATTTTTTTCAAAGAGGAGTTAATGTAACTATTATTTTAGCTCACTTATTTTTATAGTTTTTTATTTTCGTGCCTGCATTTAGAAATCAATTCCGATTTTTTGTTTAACAAACATTCTTGGTTTGTATGTGTAAATATTTCAAATTTTTCTTGTAGACATAGTATGCATTTTTTTGAAATATTGTTATATGCAGGCACTGTTTTAAGGATAGACCAATTCAGTGTAAAATCGTCAATATTTTTATCTTTTAATTCCCATATATATTTTGACAGGTGTCTTTTGAATACTTTTTATTTTTAAAAGATTGCTTATGATTGGCAAAACGTTTTTTCCATTCACCTTCTGTTATGCCAATATATTGTTTATCAGGTATATATTGTTTATCAGGTATATTCTTAGAGGAGACAACACATTTATATACCACATTTTTTGATAAGCAATTTCCACTCATTGGACAATTGTTTTTTTGTTTACAATTTTCTGTAGTTTTTTCATTTTGGATTTCTTTTTTGTTTAACATAGCATTGTTGTGACCTTTTATAATTCTTTCCATATTTTTTGTGCAACTGTAGCATGATGTATATATATATATATATATATATATATATATATATATATATATATATATATATATATATATATATATATATATATATATATTTATATACACACAAAACAGAGTGCTTAATTTTCATAATATAAAAGAGCAATAATAAATTAGTAGAAATCACCTTTTCAAGAGTCTTTTTTGAGGAAACATTTTGAAAAAAAAAATTTTTTTTTTTTTAAGTGTTTTTTTTTTTTTTAAATGTTTTTTTTTTGAGATTTTAGAGACCTACAACATGATACAACGAGTTCAATCTCCAAATCGTATATTATCTACTACTGGTATAGCCAACTTGCTTGATCTTGTAATAAATTGACATGATGATATTTTACTCAAGAGTATCCAAGTAACTGACGAGGGTATTTCAGATCACTATATGATTCGGGTAGAACTTTATCATCAACCTTCAAATGCTAAAACTGTTTGGTTTTCAAAACGAAACTTTAGAAAACTAAACTTGTCATGCTTTATAAAAGAATTGCAAGTGATGCCATGTTGCTTATCACCTGAAAACAATGTGGATGATTATGCTGAACAAATAAGATCAAGTATAACAACTGTTCTTGATCATTTAGCACCCATTCGAAAATATTCAATGCGAATTGGTAAACTATTATATTGGATGAATTTGTATGAATTTGCGAATTGGTAAACTATTATATATAACTATTATATTATATTGATGATCAATGGTTATCTTCAGATGCCAAGAGTAAAAAAAATCAGACGTCGTAAACTGGAGCGTTGTTATAGAAAAACTGGTAGTTTATCAGATAAAAAATTATATCGAACTGCATGCCTTGAGGCTGCAGCAGCAATTCACAAATCCTGATGTAGTCATTATAAGGCGAAATTAAATTCAGCATACGGTGATCAAAAAGAAACATGGAACATTGCCAAGAAATTACTACATTCGAATAGTTCTAAAACTAATAACACAATACCAGAAGCAAAATGCGATATAATAAGTCAATATTTCATACGCAAACTCGAAATTATAAAGAACACTATCCAGGAAAGGCTTGCAAAAACTCCAATATCTAAATTTATCTCAGAGTTATCTCCCCCTGTAGATATATTAACAACATTTGGTACAGTCACACTTAAAGATGTGTCGAAAATAATCAAAACTCTCAAACCTAAGATATCGCCACTTGATATTATTCCAACAAACATCCTTAAATCTTGTTCAGAAATATTCAGTCCAATTATAGCTCACCTTGCTGACCTCTCATTCAAATCCGGAATTTTTCCAACCTCATATAAAGTTGCTCAAATAACACCTATTCCCAAAAATTCAGGACTAGCAGAATTTGACCTAACAAATCTACGCCCCATATCAAATCTCAATACAATTTCGAAAATTCTTGAAAAGCTTGCTTAATCTCGTCTTCATCCACATGTAACATCATCTGTCAACTTCAATCCTCTACAATCTGGTTTTAGATCTTATTACTCAACCGAAACAGCACTCTTAAAGATATGCAATGACATCCTGCTAAACATTGATGATGGTTTGACCACTACTCTCCTATCTTTGGACATATCTTCAACATTTTATACAATCACAGCTTGCTGATTACCCGTATTAAGAATGATTTTGGAATCACAGATATTGCATTAAAATGACTAACATCATACTTGCACTCTCGAAAATCTTTTGTTTCTATTGGATCATCAAGTTCTAGACTAATAGCAAGTTCAACATAACTACCACAGGGTAGTGTATTCGGACCATTTCTATTTTCCATGTTTGTTTCACCTATATATCGTATTATAGCTAAATTTGGTACAAATCATCATTAATATGCTGATGATACCCAACTTTATACTTTCCTCAGCCCTGGCAAAGATAGCATCAACAAAATCACTGAGTGTGCTAATGCACTGAGTGTAATAACATGGTTTCTAGAAAATGGACTTCTGCTTAATCCAAATAAAACAGAAGCTATTTTATTTGGATCTAGAAAACAAACAAGCAAATATAAAAATGATTTGAATAATGCGTTTTCTTGAACCACAATAACTACAATAAATTCAGTAAAAATCCTTAGAGTTATCCTAGATTCAAAGCTCTCTATGGACAAGCACATAAACAATATTATTAAATCCTGCAATTACCACATTCGTGCACTTTGCCACATTCGACCATGTCTGACCAAAGAAGCTGCAAACATAATTGCTTGTGGCATCGTTAACTCTCAGCTTGACTATTGTAACAGCATTTTATCTGGCACTTACCAAAAAAATATTAAAAAACTCCAACGAATTCAAAATAACTTATCTCGTATTGTTTTCCATTCTCCTTTCTATTTAAAATCAGAAATATTGCTGAAATCTCTTCATTGGTTACCAATACATCAAAGAATAATCTATAAAATATCAGTTATTACATATAAAATTTTATTATCAAAATCTCCTTCATATTTATTTAAACTCCTAGAAGTCCGAACTTTAAAATAAAAGACAAGATCATTAGACAGTTGCCAACTTACAAGTCGTCAACAATATATATATATATATATATATATATATATATATATATATATATATATATATATATATATATATATATATATATATATATATATATATATATATATATATATATATATATATATATATATATATTGTTGTTTTATTGTACCAAATTAAGATACAAAAGTCTCTTGTTCGTTTGAGAGTGATCAATATAATGTAAGCGTTTACAAAATAGATCAATAATAATAATAATAATAATAATATAGTTTCATTATTTGAAATATAAGTGGGTTAAACCACACATTTTGTTGAAATATTAAAAAAAAACGAACTCAATATATCAATACAATGCAACATGAAAGTTGTAAATTACCTCGACGTCACATTAAATCTAAATGACCATACTTTCCAACCATATTCTAAGCCCAAAAATTCCTTAAATTATATTCATACTGATTCAAACCACCCGCCAAATATTTTAAAACAGCTTCCGCATTTAATCGAGTTAAGATTGTCTGCAAATTCCTCAAGTGAAGAAATTTTCCAAAGATTTACTCCTACATACAATGACGCACTGTTAAGGTCCGGTTTTAATCATAAACTTTCATACCCCCCTAATTTAAATTCACCTTATACAAAAAACCGTAAACGCAACATCATTTGGTTTAACCCACCTTTCAGCAAAAATGTAAGCACTAACATAGGAAAAAGCTTCTTAACCTTAGTCAACAAACACTTCCCAATAAATCACAAGTTCCACAAAATCTTCTA